CGTATCTACAATACCAGGAAAGGATGGCCAGGTCAGAAGTGCCATCGTTCGAACTACGCAGGGACAGTATCATCGGCCAGCAACGAAATTAGCCGTATTGGACGTATCTCGAGCCGGTGTTTAAATGTACAGGGGTATTCCCTCATGAGGGAGATACCGGGGGGAGAATGTTGGAAACACCGTCACTGGCTAATCAATTCGCTTAAACTCATACTTGGTTTTCAGACCGCACAATAAACCTATCAGGCAACGCTTTAACTTCGTTTGTTTAAGCGCAACTAGGTAACCCTTTTCTACTTCCTTTCACATATTACTTCCTTTTTGGTAAATTTCTTTTTCTTTTGCTTACGACTGAAAAAACGTGCGGTTGGGAAAACCAAATGTGAGTATATTAAAATTAAATAATGAAATATTGAATACGAATCTAATTGTAACCTTTTTTGAAATAAAGCTTTTAAAGTCGTTTCACGAACTTATAAAATTGGTAGAACCAACACTTTTTCTTGCCACATATCCCTGGAAGTGCTTGTGGAAGAATACTGGAACTTGGTATGGAGTTGTGTATACAAAATGCATCAATTGCTCATGGAAAAAATGTGAGTTATTAAAAAAGGAGGCATGTCGCCTCTCATACATGCTAAAAACTTCTTAATATATAATAAGTATTTTAAATTTGTTAAGGAGATTTATTTTATGAGTGCCGTACTGACAGAATAAATTTCATTAGCTGGAAAAGGGTGAGCCAGGTTCGGCCTTATAATCTAAAGCTCTCTTGAGGCATTTGCTACAGTAATGAGAAGTGGTATTTTATCAAGGCCAGTTTACTAAATTTGAGTTGGAAATATTAGAACCTGCCGTGGCACCTCCAAGAAGGTTACACGTTCACGCGTCGTACACCTGGAACCATTTTGAGGTAAACTTGATATCTTTCGTATACCTAGCGCGCAGACGAGATTTTATAATTTCATAGTTTTAAACGGCCTAAATACCTTAACTCGCTTAAAAAATAACGAGTTATAACGAAATGGGCACAGAAATAAAATCTAACATCATTAAATTATTTTTTATATTTGTATAAAAGCGCGGGGTGAAACCCGCGGGTATAAGCTAGTATTTGTATAAAAGCGCGGGGTGAAACCCGCGGGTATAAGCTAGTGATCACATATATGTGTGTATCTCGGTAACCGTTCCACGAATTTGAACCAAACTCGGTATGGTTATTGTGCCTGCCACATAAAAGCAAAACTTGAAAATTATTGAAATCGGACTAAAATTCCGGCCATTTTTCATATAACGGTAAATTTCAGAAATGCCCGAAACTTCAATATTTCGAAATTTAAGGACGCTAGTTTACTCAAAACTGATACACCCCGGCTTACCATGTAGCGGTAGCTTTCGGAAAGCTGAAAAACATATATTTAATACTTGCGCCGGGTATTTAATGTTCGGCTCCGCCCGAACCTAGACTTTCTTACTTATTTTACTTTTTATTTGTTATTGAATAATTTATTCGATCACGGACTATTTAATTTTACAAATTTTTGCAAGAGTTGCTAAAGTGGAAAATTAACAATAAAATACTTTTTTCACAAAGTCCATCAAGGATCTTTTTATTAAAAAAATAAAAAAAAACTGCGTAACAGTTATTCGTCGCCACCCTGTCCGTTTAATAGTCCAAATTCTTTGTAACTTGCGAGTATTCGAAATTCGTATTATCTACCGCGTTCTGTAATTCCGCCAGTAGAAAAATGAAAAAGTGTATTAAAAAGAGTTTCAAAGTTGTATTTTTTCCAATTGCGAAAAAAGTCGTTATTTGTCACAGTGAAATACCGTACAAGTTATTTGTATCACGCTAATATCTATAAAAAATTTAAGAAATGCGACAAAATGCAGAAAAAAACTTTAATTTGTTTTTCGAACACGTAGAAGAAGAAAAAAGGCACAAAAATCAAAGTATGGCGATAAAGCAGTCGCCAGATGAATCGTTTTAATGTGAAAACCGGAGACGCCGAGGCATACTATGGCATTGTTTTTTACATTCCACTTCCTTGAGACATATATTGCTAATATGAAAAGCCGGTTCCTAAGCCATAAATCAGTTTTAGATAATTTTTGTGTTTTGTTTCCAAAGTACGATTGTAACGAAAAAACAATGAAGAATTGTTTGCGTTCTATGAAAAAGTAACCGACTCACAGAGAAATGCCCGATCTGACTGGCCTTAGTTTCAAAGATCATCTCTATTTAAAAAAAAAAATGTAGTTACGTATTATAATAATAGGTAGTAGTAAAATCTACTTAAAATTACAAAAGTGCACGTATATATCATATTTGTGTAACACGGGCGAGTACGGGCCTGCAGTTTACATCGAAAGAGGCGTGAGAGTTTTGTGTACGAGTTTCAATAAAAAGAGGCTGCAGCGGTTCACATCTCCGATATTTCTGATTAAAAATTTAAAATGTCCTGTGAAATAATCAACCATCAACTATTCGATATTTGGCTAAATACTGTTGAAAAAATCGCTGTGCTTCTATTATTGAACATATGAGGAGTAACAAAGCAGTGGCTCACACACAAAAATTGATGACGAAAAACTTGGCGTATTTTGTAAGCGTTTAAGTCAAAATTTTAAAGACAGGTGGGTTCATAGTATACAGTAAACCAGCCATTGACAATATGCCTATTTGAAAATTAATACATGAAATATTGTGCATTTATGGGATTCTTTTGTCATTAACCCATAGGCAATGACTGGTGCAAAAATACCCACAAATGTTTGTTGATATATTTGAAATGTAAATTTTAACAGCGAAATTGGTAAAAAAGAAAATAATAAAACAAAAATTTTGTTGAGGTGGTCGTGGTTATTGGCAGATTTCGCCAAAATTTAATACTAACCTAAATTATACCAAAGGCAACTTCGGCACCGACTTTCGGTAAAATATCTAAATTTTGTTCGAGTTAGCGTGTTTACAAACAGACAAGACTGAACCAATTCATTTCGTCATTCTGAATATTTTGATAAATATGTATGTAAGAATATGTGCATATACATTTTATACGGTTGAAAAACGGCCTCGCTTATTTGCATAAACCGTTTTTATTTGCATTAACTCATGCATTATCCTTTTCAAATGAGAATAAGCGGCTGAACAAATGCATACAAATTTAGTGAGTTCTACCTTTAAGCTAAGTAATACTTGTTTTACCCCCTAACTTATGGGACCATTTTCCAAAGTCAGCCCACCATTATTCACTCAAAGTTGTGTTCGGAACACGATATGACTTGTGTAGGAACTGCATCCAGTTATAACCGCTTATGCTACAAGCCTGATTTGCTTGGAATTTTTCTTGTTGTTTTATTTTATGTGACTTGAAAATATTTTTCACTATAAGAAAATATTGAAACAGGATTCATTTGGGTTAAAGAAAACGACAACTGTGAAAAAATATCATTCAATACATTCAAATAAATTGTCAAATAAGCATATTTACATTTTGGCTGAATTTCTTTATTCATTCTGAACGTTTGGAATAAACTTTTTTGTTTACTTATTCTTTAGAACGTTCCTGATGATATGTTAACGTATATTTCAAAAGCATTCTGTTTATTCCGGCTGTGAAATGGGATTATCCGGAATGTATAAAGAAACGCAGCCTTTTTGTTTTGCCTATCTGGATTACTGTATACTGTGGGTGGGTTAAAGCATATAGGGTAAAAAAACGATTTTTAGACAATAATAGTGAATGGCTAAAGACAAAAATATGCATACCGTCAATAGTAATAAAATCGAGGGACAAAGGAACTGCTGGTAGGCCAACTAAAGATTTCAATGATTGTTCTTCACGAACAAAATCTAGAAAAGCAATAGAGCTAGGAAGAAATGCATGCAATGAACACCGTTTATGGCAGGTGAAATGAAAATCCGATCTGCAGGTAAACGAGACTCTGCCGGAATTGTAAAAGAACTATTTAACGCCTCTCCAGAAAGAGATACTGTTCTGAAGAAATGCAGAATTAAGAGTGCTGTTCCGAAACGGTACCCTCCAGATGAAGCACTTGCGCTGATTATAGATGCTGATTTATCAACTGAGAGGTACAATGTAATAAGAAAGTATGGCGAACAGGGTAGCTCGAACATATATCCTTCATATGATAAGGTAAAATCCGCAAAGAAGTTATGTTATCCAGAAAACATAACCATCACTGAATCATTCGCTGAAGTTCGTTTACAGTCGTTAATTGATCACACATTAAAAAGGCTTTGTCTGGCACTTGAAGACGTTTTAAAATCAGAGTCCGTTAACTCTTGTCATAATGGGGTTGTGATGGAGCGACACAAAATCGGTACAAGCAAGCAAGATCAAAAGATTTTACAAGCGATGAAAACTTGTTTAGTGCGTCAATGGTGCGAATGCAAATATATCACTTTAATGCAAGAGGGAAACTAATTTTTATATTCCAAAATCCTGCGCCGTCTTCCCCGAGATATTGTCGTCCTATTAAATTTACATTTGCAAAAGAAACTGCAGACTTTATTATTAAAGAAGTAGAAGAAACAAATAAATGATTTATGACCTACAGAAGTTATTATAAACGAAGCCAAGATTTCGATAAAGTGATCGTTAATTTTGTGTATGGCTCATAGCAAGGTATGTAATGCCTTATCCAGCTATAACTCTACTCAGACGTGTTATGTATGTGAAGCAAATCCTAAGGATATGAACAATCCAAGTTCTTTAGTTACCAAAACGATAGACACAAATATGCTCGAGTTTGGTTTATCACCGCTACTTTCTTGGATTAGATACATGGAGTGCCTATTACATATATCATATAGACTTGAAGTGAAAACATTGCAAATCAGATCAGCAGAACATAAAGAAAAAGTGGCAGAAAGAAAAAAATGTATTCAAAGAAAGTTTCAACAAGAGATGGGATTACTCATAGACATGCCTAAGCACAGTACCGGTAACACCAACGATGGCAACACCGCAAGATCTTTTTTTAGGAATGCAGAAAAATCTGCTCAAATCACTGAAATTAATTTAACGCTAATAAAACGTTTCCATGTTTTATTGGAATTAATGGCATGTGGTTATGCCATTAATGCCAACGCTTTCGAAGAGTATGCAGCGATTACAAGGCAACTTTTCTTATATGAATATTCTTGGTACTATATGCCAGTAACAGTCCACAAGGTGCTTTACCATGGAAAATGAATCATTGAACACTGCATTTTACAAATAGGACAGATGTCAGAAGAGGCTCAAGATGCAAGGAACAAAGATGTTCGCCGTTACCGACTACAGTGCGAACATAATTTTCGTTGTTTATCTAGCGACCAAGGTAAAATTAAAAAAAAAAAGTTGTAATCTTCTACACATGTCTGATGCGTCCACAAATAATATTTAAAAAATACTTCCCACTGGGAAAATAGGTAAGCACCTTGCGAGGTAAGCCATGTTTTCTTTCAGTTTTTAGTACCAAAATTGTCATCATGGCCAATGTCATCTACTAGTAAAGGGCAAAATGAACACCTCCGAAGACACATTACGTTGTCAGTTGCAAAATAACGTGCAGCCGAAGTTATTTCCAAGCACCGAACTACTCCGAGCGACTGCTCTGCATTACACGTAACTTACTTTGTAAAGCGGCTCAGAAGTATGTCTGATACCAAATGTACATTCTAAATTCCTACTTACATAAGGCGGCCATGCCTTTGTAAAAGTAAGGGACGTTCGGCAGGGAAATGGTAATGACTGCCAGGTGAAGAG